AATTCCTATATATGCTTTGACTTAAAAAATTTGGAGAAGCCTTCTTTTAGAGCTGCACTGTCCAATATCATAGCCGCCAGAAACATGACTATTACAAATTGAGATGTCCCATAAATGTAAAATGCATGCCAGATTGCCAAAACGTTAAACAAAACAATAGATGCATTCATAATTTGTTTTACATCAATTACAAGTTGAAATGTTAATACCGAACATGCTACTAAAATTACTTTTGCCAGTTTCTTTCTACTTTCTTAATGTGGCTACTAAAATTTTTTGAATTTCATATGCGGCTTGCATTCTATGTATGCACAGTGCCATCCTAGAAAGCTGACAGGTTTTGGAAGCCATAAGTCTGGTCTGGTCTAGTCTTTCTGAAAGGTGTGTGTGTGTGTGTGTATGTGTGTGTGTGTGTGTGTACACCTACATGTATATACTTTAGCTGTTTAGGGAGGCAGAACAAACCTAGTTGCTAGCTAAGTACTTGGAGTTGATCCTGTGGGATACAGAGAGTGATTTAGAAGCTATGAGAAGCTTGACCTGAATAGATTGTTAAAATGACAAAAAAGTAGAGCAGAGGCAGACTGACAAGTGGCACAAAACCAAAGGCCCAAAGCAGCGTGGTGGAACAGAAAGAGGATGGTCACTAGCTTCACTAGCATAGTAGGTAAGAACATGGGTTTTAAAGCCAGAAACCAGCACTTCTACTACCTGTGTGATCTCAGGCAAGTTACTTAACTTTGCTGTATCTCAGTTTGTTCATCTGTAAAATGGGGAGCTATATCATGAGTTTCTACACAATATCTTACTCAATTCAGGCCACCATGACAAATTACCTCAGACTAAGTGGCTTACAAGCCACAGAAGTTTATTTCTCATAGAGCTGGAAGTCTAAGGTCAGGATCGCAGCCTGGATGTGCTTTGGTAAGAATCCTCTTTCAGGTTATAGTCTGCTGACTGTATCCTTGCATGTTGAAAAGAAGGTAAGTGAGCTCTCTGGAGTCCCTTTTATAAAGGCACTTACGTCATTCATGAGGGCTAGCCCTCATGACCCAGTCAATTCCCAAAGTCCCCCTTCTCCTAATACCATCACACTGGAGGTTAGGATTTTAACATACCAGTTAGAGGGACACAGATATTCAAACCATTGCACAGGCATGTATGTGTTCATAGATGCAAAACAGGATCTGACTGGCCTGACTTGGTCTCATGTCCTTGTTTGATTTTTACCAGGAGGGTGGGGTCTTATGATTGAATTAGCCTGGATCTCATGCCCAGCTCATGGAGACAGGCAGCTGGGTTTCTTATCCCAAGAAAGGGGAGAAGCAGGGATGTGCAGTGGTGGATGCAAACAGCAGCTGCCCCTTCTACAACACTTTCCTGACTTTTTGACCTTGATCAAAGTAACTCAATGATCAGAAGCCCAGCTTTGGCTTCTGTAGAGCTGTCCTAATGAAACCATGAAGATCATACTCTCCCTGCTGCACAGCAGACGCCTAACAAATGTTAATCCTTCCACAAGGAAAAGACTTGAAGGCAATGCTGCCGCTAACTTTGGCAGTGAAAATCTGACCTTTGGCTGAAGCTAGAAAGTCATCCAAATCTGAGAGGAGTTGTCTTGTCTGTGGGCCAGATCACATCTCAGACTCTCAATTCAATGTCAACAGAAAAGGCAGCTGGGACCTTAGGGCTGGGCTTGGTGGGCGGCCCAGGCCTAGTGTCTGTTTAACAAGCTCCCCCAGCTACCTTCCTGGGAGGCTTCCTGCACTCACTGAGCAGTTTTGGTCCAACCAGTTCTCCCTCTGTAGCTGGGATTTTGTAAGAGGCCAAATTCCAGGCTGAGGCAGGATAAACAAAATTACATGGCTAATGATTGGCAAGTCTGCCTGGAATGCAACTGGCTGCAGATTTCAGTGGGAGAGACTTTGTTACCCCCTGGACTGTTGGCAGAGAGGGTGTAAAAACAGGAAGGAGGTTCCAGGCTCTGCAGAATGGCTGCCTGGAGTTTTTTCTCTATTCCCTTTTTAAGGAAAAGAGAGACACACATGGTTCCAACTTGGAATTCTCCACCTCAGTCTGCTTTACAAAGAAATAAAATCCTTTGGCCGAAGTCTTACATTCATCTAACATTTTACAGCTTACAAAAGAGCCCAATTCTAAAACCACCTCTGTTGTGTTGGGGCTATAGGTGGTAGTCAGAGCTCACAGAGCCCAAAGACACACTGCTAGGAAATGGCAGGGGTCAGGCATAAGAAATTTTCTTTAAAAAAAAATCAGGCAAGAGTACTGTTTAGCGTTTGTATTCAATCTTCTGGATATGGGGCTATCCTTCCCCCTGGGTTGGAATACTTGACTTGAATACACTCCAAGGGTAGAGGGAATAGGAAGGTTCCTTGTTTTCCTATGGGTATTATAAAGGGGAAAGATTTTTCCTTGAACACAGCTAGGAATTTTAGAAATTGTTTCCTAGACTTCACATTGTTCTTTCTGTCCAAAGTATCTGCCCTGCCTTTTTAAATTTTATTTTATTTTTTTTGGTAGCACTGGGATAGAACCTAGTGTCTTGCTCTTGGGAAACATGGCCTCTGTGACTGAACTACATGCTAGCCCTCCCCCATACTTAAAAGGATGTTAAAATAGATAAGTAGATAGAAAGAGATTGAGTTCAGTTCCTAGCTTGGTCCACCATCCTGCTGTCTAGATGATGTTAGTCAAAGCACTAACCACCTACCACTGGGTCTCAGTTTTCTTATAAAAAACAAGAAGTATAAAGTCTTAACAAGTTCAGAGATCCCATCCAGGTATCTGAAACTTCCACAAGGTATAAACTTCTGGTCCTTTGCTTGCAGCACTACCACCAAGGATCTGGGGCTCAGGGTAATGTGTGCACCTACCCTGTACCTGGGTGCCCAGACCTGCTAGCCATACCCACAGGTCTTATCAGGCCCCTAGTGAGCTCAGATTAACACTTGTGAGAACTGATGGTGGAGAGGAAGATGAACAGTTAAAGTGAAGGCTACTCTCCCTCTGCCCCACATGGCCCTTCTCCTCTGAGATAGCTGTGGACCAGCCTGGGGAAGACGTGGTGCCAACCTAGCATGACCAAGGCTCATTGTGGGCAGGTTTCATTAGCTCATTCTGCTAATCATTCTGGCTTGTCATTGTTTCTCCTGATTAACTACAAATTATCACTAGGGAGCCCAGCTTGGGTTTGATTTTGCCAACTTTCTGGAGCCAGTTCCCAGTTAGTTTTGGCTTGCCTGAACCAGGGGCCTTCCTGCATCTATCCAGCTGCCCTTCATGGAGAGAGCTGTGGGCACTTACATATTGTGTCATTCCTGACAATATTGTGACATTGACCTCATCGTCGCCATTTTCCAGCCACAGAAACTGAGACTCAGTAAAATGAGGTAGCATGCCCGGCTTCCCACAGCTGGTAAGAACTTAGTGAAGGTGATGCTGCCTTACAGATTTTCAGATGTGCATGCAAGCCAGTAAGATTGCTGTCTCTACATTCTCCCTTAATCACCTCTAATTCACTGCCTCACTGTTGCAGAACTTGAATCATTTAGAAACAGTGAGCTCACAAATATACCTCAGGCCTTGCCAATGGGAAATCCAAATTCTGTGACATTCAGGCAGTTTCTAGACCAGCCCAGGAATTGCCTGATCATATTAGGAATAAGCAAAGCCATTTGGGTTTTAATAACATGGTGAGAAAATAGTGACTTTAAAGTCTTTATTAGACCCGGAAAGCATTTTCCAAAGCAGGAATTAGCTGACACAGGCAGAGAGTCAGCTGGAAAAACAAGGTCTGGGTTAGGTGGCCCAGAAAATACCCCTGCTTTGGTGCCCAAAGCTTCCCATTGATTTCAATTGCGGGCTAGCACAGGCCAGCAGAACAATTGTCCCATGGGTGAATGTGCCATTAGAAATGACCCCACATAGCTAATGGGGGTTTAATAGTGGCTTGCTTAGTCTTTGGTAGGGTTTCTGTTGTCATTTTTAGTAAGAAAATTACCCATCTGCCATTCCTTTTAAACTTGTACAGTAATAATTAGCCAGGCCCCAAAGAAAAGCTGGTTACACTTGACCTTGGTTGGATGAAAGCTCAGTGACCCATTAAAGGCTGTGAAATCATTTAATTCTGACTGACTAGAGAGGTAACATTGTAGCAGATATTTGGTAGAAAATGGTTATGATTCTCACTTGTTCATCATTTCACAATTTTCAGAGCTCAGGGTAAACTTGAAGTTATAAGCAATGACTCAATTAGGGATCATCAAACCATGCCCTGCCAGCCAAATCCATTCCACTCCATATTTTTGTAAATAAAGTTTTATTGGAGTACAGCCAGGCCTATTTATTTACATATTGTCTGTGGCTACAGTAGAGTTAAATAGTTTGGGCAGAGGGTATATGGCCTGCAAAACTTAGCATATTCACTCTCTGACCCTCACAGAGAAAGTTTAATGACCTCTGTCCTAATTCACAAAGGTTAAGTTTGATTCCTGTGCCAATCACTTACCAGCTGTTTAACCTTGGACAAATTATTTGGCCTCCATTATTGAATTCAATTTCTTTATCTGTCCATCAAACACGTGAGAGCCTATGTGGTGGGTGTTACTAGAGCTCACCAGCAAGGTCTTCAGTCACACATATGCCTTTGAACTTGGTTGGGCATGGCTATGTGACTTCCCTAGAGCTGTGCAATGTAAGGAGAAGTGATGTATATCACTTCTAGACAGATCTGAGATGGATCTTCTATAGTCTCCTTCTCTACCACTTGAATCAGCAAAACAGACCATGTGCTACGGTTTAGATCTGGAATGTCCCCTAAAGGCCTCTGTGTTAAGGGCTTGGTCCCCAGCCTGGTGCTATGTGAAGACTGTGGAAACTTAAGAGTTGAGTGTTAGTGGGAAGTCTTCAGGTCATCAGGGATGTGCCCTCAAAGGAGATTGTAGGACCCCTGGTTCCTTCCTTGCTCTTTCTCTTCCCAGCCATGAAGTGAGCAGTTTTGCTCCACCACATGCTCCTGCCATGATGTGCTGGCTCACCATAGACCCAAAGCAATGGGGCCAATAGACCCTGGACCCAAACCTCCAAAACCGTGAGTCAAAATAAATCTCTTGTCTTTATAAATTAATGATCTCAGATATTTATTATAGCAATTAAAAATAGAGTGACATCTGTCATTTCTAGCCACATGCTGGAGAAATTGAGATTTAGTCAAAGCTTTTTCCTAATTTTGCACAAGATCTGTGATCATTGTCAATCAGGAAACTTGAGGAGGCATGTAAAAAAATGAAAGAAGATGAGAAGGTGAGTCATCTAAGGACCAAACTGAATTTGGGGGAAATATTAACAAAGATACTGGGTACAGAGGAAAAGGAGTATAGAAGTAATAGGAAGTATGGTGTCAACCTTTTGCCACCTTAGTTCCATTGGCCTATACAGAAGAAAATAGCAGCCACAGTATTCTCTCCTGCCTCTCTGTGGTTTGTACCTCTCTGACCTACGGTGCTCCAACAGGAAACCACAAGACCCTGGGATCCTCAGGGCCATGACAGTGCTTTACTCAACCATATTTCTCAGAAGGTCAGCTCACTATGTGATACAGGATGGGCATTTAGTCACTATCTGCTCCACGTGGACCGAAATGACACTAAATGAAATGAAGTAAGTGCATCTTTCGGGTGGGCACCGCCTCAAAGACAGGGTTACAGGCTTCTAAATGAACCCCACATATCAGCTCTCCACCCAAAAAATGGAGCATTGATGACCAGCTGATAGCCAATGTAGTTGAACAGTTCAGAGCACTGGCTACGAGAATCAAACTGCCTGCCTCTGCCACCAACTAGCTGTGTGACACTGGGCAAATATTTTAACATTTCTATATCTCAGTTCTCTAACCAGTAGGATAGTACCTAAAGCATGTACTTGTCAGGATGAAGTGAGTTGATACATAGAAAGTGCTGGCAGATATTGCCATGGTTTGGATATGGTTTGACTGTGTCCAAGGGACCATGGATTGGAAGCTTAGTCCCCACTGTGGTGATCTTTAGAAGTGGAATCCAGTGGGAGGTGATTGAGTTACAGGGGGTGTTGCCTTGGAAGGAATTAATGTAGTTCTCATGAGACCCTACTTAATTCTTTTACATGTGATCTCACCATGATGACATTTCTGTGATACCATCTGCCATGGTGTGATGTAGCCAAAGGGGCCTCACCAGAGACTGAACAAATAGGGCTACCTGATCTTGGAATTTGAATTTATTAAAATGTGAGCTAAATAAACCCCTTTTCTTAACAAAGTATCCAGCCTTAGGTATTTCATTATAGCAATGGAAAATGGACTAAGGCAATAATTTTATGAATATTATTATGATTCAAGACCTTGCCCCTCACTCTGAAGCCACTTTAGCTTATAGTCTTCAAAACACTCACAATCTCAGACAATCCTTGCTAGTCTACTTTCGATTGTTGATATTTATCTTGTCATTACTGACCACTCCCCTCACCTAAATTTGGAAACCATTTTCTTGCCCCTGGGAACTTAGGGCACTTCCTTATGGATCTGGGCTTAGTCATCATTCCAGGCCCCTGAGTCTCCTGGCCCCTATGTCTCCAGTTGCCCCAGGTAGGAACATCCCTGGCCCCCCTCAACACTGTCCTGTCCCCTGCTGGGCTTGTCCCCAGCATCCTGCCCCTCTCTGTACTCCAGTAGGTAGGGGATAGAGAAGAGGAGCTCTGTGCCCTGCTGGGCCTGGGCACAGAGACTTGTTTGCATATTTCCACTTTCATGCTTCAGTTGCTGTTGCCCCTGACTCATCAGTTAGTTAACAAGCTCCAGAACCATTTTTCTTCCTTGTGACACCTCATGAAGCAGCCTATCTAACCAGTGAGAGTATGTTCTCCAAGGGGACATGCTGCAGGAGAAGCTTCCTTATCTACTTCTCTATGCTTTTGTCCTCTTTCTCTTTGCTCCGAGAGCCACTCAAGGGTAAAAATCACTGTCTTTTCTGTTTTCTTTTTTTGCAGTGTGCCTACATATGTGTGTATGTGTGTGTCTGCTAGTATGGGTATAGAACTTTGCTCATCACAGGGGGACACCATGAACAATCTGGCTGGCTGATTAGGAATGTTATTATTATTTTTAATATCAGTAACTTCCATTTACTGAGCACTTAATATAAGTCATGAAGTCTTCTAAGCAGTTTGTGTGAATTAATTTGTAGAATCTTCACAATAACCTTGAGAAAGTAGGTGCTTTTTTAAAGATAAAGAGACCATACCTCAGAGAATAACTTGCCCAAGGCATCAACTGGTAAGTATCAAAACCCTGGAGGATTTCAAAACTGTCCTCCATCAGTGCTTCTCAATCTTTCTGGTACTTAAATCACTTTGAAACCTTGTTAAAATGCACTTGTTGATTCAGTTGCTTTGAGGTGGGGTAAGAATTGGCATTCCTGTGAAGCTCTCCCGCAGTGTTCCTGCAGCTGGACTGAGGACACATTTTTAAGTCAGGTTGATCTAAATTATACTATAGTTCCTCTGGACTGTTGGATTGGTTGCAAGATGTTCAGTGAATTTCTTTCCAGTGCATATTAATCACTTGTCATCTTTAAAAATGCACACTTTCTCTGAGTTTGCCCTGCACCTACTAAATCGGGTAAGGCCTAGGTATATGTGATATTGAAAGAATTCCATGCTGTTTTGCTGAACAACCACATAACATGGAAGAACTAAATATAGTCCTCATGATATTTGGGTCCTTCAAGTCAATGTTACTAAAACTTTATGCCCAAAGGATTCACCTGAGGATCCTGTCAAAATACAGATTCTGATCCAGTGTTTGGGGTTAGCCTGACATTATGCATTTCTACTACAGGCATCACTCAGTATCCACAGGGGAAGGCTCCACAAACCCCTCTGGATACCAATGTCTACAAAGGCTCACATATCTTATACAGAATAGTGTGGTATTTGTATATAACCTGTGCATATCTTCCTGTATTCTTTAAAATATAAATATAAATCATCTTATATTTATATAAATCAAATGTTATATAAATAGTTGTTATACTGTATTGCTTAAGGAAGAATGACAAGAAAACAAAAATTCAAATACCTACTGGGATATTTTTTAGTCTGATTCAGAACCTGCAAATATAGAGGGCTGATAGTGTTCTCACTCCCAGGTAAGACCAATGTTACAAACTTCACTCAGAATAGCAAAGCTCTGGAGAGTCATCATCTTCTTTGGAAGGTTCTAAAAGTCTTGTAGTACACACACACACACACACACACACACACACACTATAAATGTTTTAAACAAGGTAGCTATACAAGACACTAGTGAGGTGGCCTCAATGCCCTCCCTACTGCATAGTCTTCAAGGAAGACTCCGTACAGGAGATGCCGTTTGATTTGCCTCAAAAGATGAAAAGGATTTTGTCCAATAGAAATGTGTAAAGAGAAGGGCTTTTGTTTGGGAAGCCCCTGAAAGCCATTTCACGTGATTGGGGTCTAGCTGGGGTGTGATAGAAAAGGGAAATGAAGCCAGAAAAAGCTGGCTGCCAGATTATGAACTGTCTTGAACATTAGACTAAAAAGCTCAAATTTTATAACATGGATTGTAAGGAGATATGCAAGCTCCTTCGGCAGAAAAATAATATCTCTATTTAATCAGAACCTGGTTCCCACAAAAAGTAGATGGGTTTCCCTGATTGCCCATCTTTTTCATGACCACAAGATTGATATCACAAGACAGAGAGACGCCAGGAAGACTGGGGGGCCTGGAATTAAACACAGCAGACCCATATTTTGAAACTGGCAGCTTGTCTTCCTTGAAAGAGGACAGTTCTCTGGTGTTTTTGAAAAACTGTCCAAGGGAGGAAGAACAACAAGATTTCCACTTGCAGAAAGCAAAGCTGTCTCACATGTTCCAATAAGTAATGTTCTCCATACCACAATGAACAGAAAAATGTGCGTGATGGAATGAAAATCCCAACTGCCTGGCTACCCGTGGGCAGCCTCAGTTACTATGGAAAATTCCTGATTAAAGTCAGCGAAAGAATTTCCTAGCTAGCGACTATTATTAATCTGAGCTTCAGCCTTGTGCTGACATTCAAGATTGGGTTCTTTAATATGTCATTGCACAAGCAGGTGATTAAACTCCTATGTTTTTTAAAAGCAAAGAGAATGTACCCACCTTCGCCAAGCTGACTACCCTTTTTAATAACCCACGCGGTCCTGCTCAGTTAGCATGAGAACAAAACTGCAACCATGAAATTATTTTAACAAGACTATAAAAAAAACAAATTTGCTTGAGTGATGTTTAGGAAGATGGGGGGTACCCACCCTCTCTCTAAACTAATTAAACTGTACTATATGTCCTTGTGTAGTTCCTGACATTTTTCTGGTTCACTCAGTTTGAATGGTTACACAAGGATCAGTGCCAAACTCCCAAATGGCTAACTCAGAACAAAAGCAGAGTCCCCAGGGAATTCTTGAGCATCTAGCAAATTGAGGGAAAGTTATTTGGGGTTAGTCAATGTGCTTTAGTTGGAATTACATCTTGCCTCATAGAGATGATGGAAAATGGAATCACTGTTTGAAGTCTAGCTCAGGATGAAGTAGGAAGTAATACTGAACTTGTTATGGTTTTTATTTTTTTATAAAATCACACCCTTTTTGGATAAAGCCATTGACAATGGCTTCTCATTTCTTATCCCCTCATTCCATTCCATGGTAATTTATGCCTTTCCCTCTCACACTAGCTATTACTGGAAGCCACTGGCAGTTTCCTGCACATCTTTTACAGGCAATTGTTCTATTCTCAGCCTGATAGGGATTAGACATTGATGAATGGCTGGAAACTTTGGTTTCTGGCAAGACAAGCCTTAGTTCAAGCTAGAGAGGCCTTTGGGTGTTGGTCAGACTCTCATCAAAATCAAACTGAGAAACAATGAGTATCTTGGACACAGCACAGTCCTGTATGTGTCAGACACAAGCCCTCCTGCTGAGAAATATCCCTTGGTGGAGTGAGCACAAATATCATAGCCTTACACTCCTTCAAACTGATGTTTCTCAACCCTTTGGACTTTCAAGAAAACATTCCCTTTTAAAAAGCTCTTTAACATTGAGGAGGCAATCCTTTAAATCCCTGTGGAGCACAGATAAAAAGCATACAATTCATTTCCATTTAAAGTGGTATACAGTGAGCACCTGCCACATGTGAGATAGCAGTGGGGCACCATTCTTTGGATGAACAAGATGAAACTGATAGAGGTGCTTCCTGGTTTCAAGGAAATTAGACTGTCCTCATTTAAGAGAGGAATTGGTGTGATGAATGGCAGTGTTGCTCATAGTGATAAGCCCTAATATTTTCATTACCCACTATAATATGCAAAGTGCATGCATATATGCAGAAGTGTATACACGGCTACAAGCCTATTCTTACCTCCTGGCAGTGGATACTGGTTGTCTCAGACTGCTTTCCTACTGGTTCACCTACATGGGAGGAAAAAAGACAGCTAGAGTCATGGACTATTATCAAGGTGAAAATAACCAGGTGACTGCCCAAGAAAGTATGGGCTTTTGGAGGCAGACAGCTATGAATCCTGGCTGGGCTAACTTAGAGCCTGTCAAATGAGAGACAAATGCCCAATTCTCAGGATCCTCGAGAGGCATCTCCAAGATAAATATCCAACCCAATACCTGGGTCGTGGCTAGTTTTAAACATCTGTTCTGTCCCTCTTCCTCTTGTTTGATGCTTGCCTTCTCAATTCCATATGTGCTTTGTACAGAGATGGTGGCTCTGCTGCAGCTTTACCATGCTGTCTCCTACCCATATCTCCTGTCCAGTGTCATTGCACATTCTGTCTCTCCAGAGCTCCATGAAAGATGTTGCTTTTCTCTTTGCAGAAGAGCTGCCTAGAGAGGAGGGGCTGTTGGGAAGGATAGGGAAGCTACCAGGAAGGGCAGCCACCCAAGTTGGGGTACTTCCTGTGTTGAAAGCCAGGGCTACTTGTTTGTAATCAGGATGGATAGCAGAGGCTTGGGAAAGATAGTTCCCAAGGCCCTAGGGATAAAGGGATGGATCTGACTGGCAGTGTGCTCTTGAGGCTGATCCTATCTCTCTATGCTATACTTTAAATACTGTCCTTCCATGAGGTTGCATTTTTTAGAAAAATGCTTCGGGGTTGCATTTTTTTAGAAATCAGAGATGCAAGGAGTACATGCTGTGGAGTAGAAAAGGGAGCCTAGTAGTAGGTGTTATTTAACCTTCTCTGTCTCCACGGAGAAGAAGTAGACTACTGGTTTACCTAGAGAGAGCTCATTATTCATGACCCACGGCTCACCAGAAACACAATATCTGACCTTCACTTCTGACAGCACAATCACCACCTTCTTTCTAGTTACCATCACCTCTTGCTTGGATGCCTGCAAAGGTCTCAGAATCACTGCTCTCCCCCACACACTCTTGACTTCTTGAAATTCTCGTCCTTGCAGCAGTCAGGATCATCCTTTCAGAATCCCACTCCATGACCCAGGCCCAATCAGTCAGAACATGACATCCCACGGCCAGTCTGGCTGGTTCAGGGATGGAATGCAATCTAAGCTAGGGAATAATTATAACTATCATCTATTAAACACTTACTCTGTGCCAGACATGGGGCAAAACACTTAACAGCCTGGGTCTCACTCAAACCTCTCAATAACTGCATGGAGTCAGTACTCTTATTATTAGAGGGGACAAATAGCTTGCCAAAGCAACCAAATGAGTTCACCATCAGAACTTGAACTCAGTTCTTTTTCTCTCCAGAACCCAAAGCTTATACTTAAGTGTGAGTGTAGACTTAGAACACTCAGTTAATGTTTTCTTCCAACAACAAGATTTTAAATTTTAAGCATTACTTTCTAGTGAAACCAGAAATTTGGGCAAACCATGGAAGAAAGGCACCTGCCAAACAGCCTGGCTATCTGGAGTTAGTGAGATTATCCTCTTCTCCCTCCTGCCAGCACTGTGAAGGCACCATATTTGCTGCCTTACCATGCTATGTATTTCTTTTTCTTTCTGGATAAAAATCTACGATGTGATAACAATCCACTACATCTTGGTGGATAGATCAGTTTCTTCTGAAATTGATGTAGACATTTTTGTGCATTCACCCTAGAATGCAATCTTCTGAAAATTTCTTCCTTTTTTGTTTAGTGTGAAATAAAATGGGCTTTGCCAGCATTTAATCATTTCCTTAGTACATTTACCAGGCTAACCTAAGAAAGGAAGAGTCCCATTGTGCCCAGGGATCTGAGTCAGAAGTATCATGCTCAGAGCTCTGTGATCTCCCACAGGGCGCAGGAATTGACTAAATCCATCAGTTGATGGGACTGTCAGGGCTGAGAAAATGACCCTCCAAAATTAACTCCTCTGCAGCCAAGCTGCTCTCTGACCTTTTCCTTCTCTCCTATCTTTTGCCTCTGATTTTCCCTTGAGGGAAGCCATGAACATGAGAATTCCTCTTCCCCAAGGCACGTCACAGAACCAGAACTCCCCCCCACCCACAGCCAGTTATAAAACCTAAAAACATTACTCTAACTTTCCTCCACTTTCTGTATAATGGCTGGCCATAAAAAAAATCAAGACCCTTATCCCAGAGGAGTCCTGCCTCGTACAGGAGAGGAAGAGATAATACAGCTGAGGGGCTGAGAAGAATTGAAACAGACAAGCCTGGCTGGTTTCCCTACTTGGTCTATTAACATTAGCTCAGACTTATTTTTCCAGTCATATTTCTACATGGCTGTGCCTGCTTCATTGAAGCTAAGCATAATAATGAGCAGTTCACTCTGGGTCTCTGGGTCTTCACTGCAAAAGCTTCTGTGCATGTAAAATTTTGATTGAATCAATGTTCTCTTGTCAAGTGTTCTTTTGTTACAGAGGTGTCAGCTGTGACCTTTATGATGGGCAGGAAGTGATTATACTCTTCTCTTCCTTATAGTTTGGGCTGAGAGGGATAATCCCATGTCTCAGGTCTGGTAGGGGGCTGAGCTCATTTAGATCACATACTCAGAATAGTGCCTAACACATACTAAAGACGCAATAAATTATAGCTGGTTTTGTTCATTTTTCTACTGAGAGGAAGGCTTGATTTTAAAGGTCTTGATTATAGGATTAATTAATTTATATCCCCAAATCCAAACACATGTTGCTGATATATAAGCAGACCAGGCCTCCTTCTTCCTTATGTCTCTATTTTTTATCAAACAATATTTTCCTTCTCATAAAGTGATTTCTAATACAACTGATTTCTATTTCTTAAATTGGAGAATCCACATGACATCAGCTAGTTTTCCCTGTATAAAAACTCACGATGACATACTTAGTATAGTGAAAATCACAAGGACAGAAAGTGGGATGGTGGTTGCCAGGGGCTGCAGGAAAGAGGACTGGGAGCTACTCTTTAATGGGTGTAGAGTTTCAGTTTAATAACATGAAAAGAGTTATGGAGCTGGATGGTAGTGATGCTTGCACAACAGTATGAATGTATTGCATGCTAATAGGTTATATATTTAAGAATGGTAAAGTTTATGTGATATGTATTTTACCATAATAAAAGAAACTGAAAAATAGCTCATTGGATTTTCCTGATTATAAATTCTACATCTAGGCATTCTAGAAAATTTAGAAAATTCTGAAGAATAATAAGAAGTCACTAACATTATAACCCAGTTGCCTAGAGAAAGAATTATGATCAATGATCTAGTACTGTTGTTGTCTATGTATATATATGTTTTAAAAATAAATAATATTATTCTATGTTTATAAAAAATGTAAATTACTTCTTTCCGATTAAAGTGCCCAAGAAAGTTTTTCTCCTAAGATATTTGTTTATTTTTCCTTATATAATGCAAACAATGTAGTATTATATTGTTATTATATTTCAAGCATTATCATGTTCTGGCCACTAGGAAGCTCAAAAGACAAATATATGGCTCAACTTTTATAAAACCTTGGACCTTTTGTATTTTTTTTTTATGTTTTAACTTCCTTCCTGGTCTTGATCTAGTAAATCTATTCCTAAGCCTGGTTTGTTCTCTACTTATAGTTTTCTGTTTATTATAATACGTTAGCAAATTATATATTATTGTACATATATAATTTTATATATTATTATAAGCTGCACATAGAAAGGAATCATTTATATATAGTCATTGTAAAGGTGATTTATCAAACGTTAGTTTTTAAAACTGTAACAATCATAATCTGGTGAATCCAGGTGGTATTGAAGTGGAAGGTTCTGTGTGTGCATGTGTGTGTGTGTGTATGTGTGTGTAAGAAAGGGACAGAGACAGAGCAGTTTCAGCCATCACATATGTAACTTGACTCTGTTTGGGTTCTTGGTAACAATCTGTCACTTGAGAGTGTTTGTGAGCTTGATCTGCTGTCTTCTGATAAGTCTGGATGACTCATTTCTCTCTGGTCTGTACATCTTTCATAGCTTTCTGGCCACTCACTGGCCTCTGAAATGGGTGGCTTCCATCCACTTTCTACAAGGTCCCACCATGGTTTTGTGTGTTTGTTTCCAATGCAGATATGAGCACATGACTCCCCTGTTTAAGCCCTTCAGTGTTACCCACAAAGTTTCCTTTGAGGTTTCCCAGGCTGGAGCCACCTCTGCATTTTGTAGTTGAGAAGAATGAGACTCAGAGAGGGAAAGCAACTGAGTGACACATCCAGGACCAGAAATGAGGTTTCCTTCCTCTGTTCATTCATGCCAATATGCATACATTTATTTGCTCCACAACTACCTTTGAGGATTGACAGGCATCTAGAATGTTGGAGGTTCCAGAGACACAGCAGTGGGGAGTCTGGCACAGTGCTTGCTGTCTTCTTCCTCCTCCCATTCTGCAGGGGCAAGTGCAAGAAACAGACTAACACAGAAATGGTCAAGGTAATGTCAGCTTGTGCTCAGTGATATAAAGGCTGAAAAGGGACACTGTGCTTGAGAGTAATTGGGTCAGGGTGGAGAGGTAGCAGAGAGGACATTTTAGATAGAGTGGTCCAGGAGCAACTCTGAAGTTTGGGAAGATCTGGGTCTGGGCACACAGAAGAGTTCCCTCTGGAAGAAGACACTTGACTTGGCTTGTAGAATCAGAACCATGTTCTGTGTGGAAGGAGGGGTCAGGGAAGGAGGTTGGAGGGAGCGACAAGAGCTCTTGCTCTGTCATTACAACTCTGGTTTCAGAGGCTTGTCACAGACTCAGGTATGTTTTGAGACCAAAGGCCTTGAAATGCAAGATCCAGGAAGAGCCAAAGAGCTGTGCTTTTCCTTCCCCACTCACTATGACCAAGGCATACCTTGTTACAAGATCAGATTTACACCTAGTTTTATTTCCAACCTTTCCTCTCCTGCTCCCCATATGAAAGAGGAAACAAATTTATCTTTGTGCTGGAGAAAGGCTTGCTGGTGAGAGGCCATGTGACAGCAAGAAAGAGTATGCTCCTTGAG